GTATCACCTTGAAAGAGAAGACACGTAACTATGAGTGTGTCCCGCCCTCGCTCTCTCTGCTTCGCGCAACCTCTCTGACTCATATCTTACCTCCAGCAAGTGAAGGGTTTGGGCTGGATGAGTTAGTTACTCTGAGGTCTCCACTGTTTTCTGTGGCTGCTGTAAGGTAGGGTGACTGTCTGCTATGCTCTCTATGAATAGCTACAGTGACTCATTGATGCCAGACTTGAGTGGGTGGTACTCAATTTGGCTTTTGGCTGTATTTTAGCGTGTTTGCAAGGCGACGGATAATGGTTACAGAACGCGCTGTATCTCCTGATGTTACGCGGATACATTTTTTACAGTTAATACATACATTTAACACCAGTTTACTTTGCAGAAATTATGTCCAATTTAATAAAAAAACTGAACTCTTTTATCCAACTCCTTACAGTCTCCAAGCAGAACGACCAATGCCAAATATAACATAGATCACTATTCATTTTTTTAATATGGTTTTTAATCAGATATTCCCGCAGTTATTGCTTCCCCTCCCTCCCCTCTTTTAAGGCACGTCTCAAGACGTACCTCTTCGACCGCGCATTCGGTCATCTTTCTAAACCCCTGCCCTTCCCCTCTCGGATCCCATTCCCCAGCTCGGGTGCACAGCCACCGTTGTGAAGCACTTTGAGACATCCTCCCGACGTGAATAGCGTTGTATAAATGTAAATATTATTACAAATTGCAGTGGTAAATTCTACCGTCACATAAGTGACAGGAGGAAACCATTCAGCCCTTCGAGTCAGTTGCACCAATTTGTTAGCTCAGGCAGATCTTTCAATCCCATTTCTTCACCTTTTCTCCATTCCCTGAATATCTAACAATTAATCCTGATATTTGATATAGCTTCTCTCACACTTGGAGGATGTTTTAAAGCTTTTAATCGGATTTGCTATAAGTGTCAAAAGTAGCTTGATGTGTGATTAGAGGGCACTCGGGGACGCTATCCTGCATGAGGTACCCTATATAAATGCAAGTTGTTGTTGTTGAAGGGTGGGTGTTCTAGAGCAATGAGATCAAATGGGCAAAAGGGTCTTCTCTATCTCAACCACCTGTGACTTTGTATTGCCAGTCACATTGGCCTCTGTATGTGTGTGTTTGTGCGCATGAGAGACTAACAATCAGCTTATACTGATTGCGTCCCGTAGTGTAGTGGTTAGCGTGTAAGCAAGAAGAACTGGGTTCGATTCCCAGGCAGGGTGTAACCTTAGGCAAGTTTTCTGACTCCACTCGCCTCTGATTTCTTGGCAGTAAGTAGGAACCCGGTTGTTAGTCGATTAGTGGATCGTTTTCCGGGGGTAATAATCCTTCCAAAAACAAAATTTTATCACTTGATCCATGGCTGCTGTGCACAATTGCTGCCGCTTTTCGCCCACAAAATACACACTTTACAATATATTCTATGAGACGCTTTGCAACATCTCAACCACGTGATAAGGGCCTATATCAAATGCAAAGATTATTATTATTATTATACAGGAGGTATTGTTACTTGTGGGGTTATCAATTCCTTGTGAAGTGTATTGAGGTGCAGATGCAAAATGCAAATATAAGTTATTTATTCTTCTTTGTTAACTGTAGCTCATGGAAAATTATTACTGAGGATTTATCTCTGAGTCAGAAGGTTGTGGGTTTAAGCCTCTTATCTAGACTTTGGGATGACACTGTATTGCAGTGCTGGGGGAATTCTGCATTGCAGAGGTGCCGTCCTTCGATGAGACGTTAAACCGAGACCCGTCTGCCTGTCCAGGCGGATGTTAAAGATCCCATGGCGCTATTTGAAAAGAGAAGGGAATTTCTCTCTCCCGTTGTCCTGGCCAACACTCCCCTAACTACAATTGTTCATCACATGATGGCTGTTTGTGGGACACTGCTGTGTGCACACAGCTACCATGTTATAAAATACACAGTCACTGCACATTACAGTAAATTCTGTAAAGCACTTTGAGACATTCTCCCAAAGTACGAATATATCAAATACAAGGATTATTATTACTCACTGGTGACAGGGTTACATGGAGCTACATACAGTGATACGGCACAGAAAGAGGCCATTTGACCCAACTAATCCATGTTGGTGGTTGTACTCCACACAAGCTCCCACCCCTCCTATTCCACTCTCTATTACTCCTTTGTTTTCTTTTCTCTCATCTACACATCTAGTTTCCTCTTAACCTAAAATTCACATAAGTCTGATCTGTATAAATCGTACAATCGCCTAAGTTGTACATCTGCCCACTGAATTTTCTATTATCTATAAGTTTTACATAACTCATACTTTGCATAAGTCATATTAAATGTATGGTCCCAACTGATACGACTTATGTGAGGGTTACTGTAAATTGATGCTTGTTACTTCAACCATAGCTAACAGCCATGAGTTGCACATTCTCACCACTCACCATGTAAGGAAGTTTCTCCTAAACTCCCTATTAGATAGCGTAAATATAAAAAAGCCAATCTACCGCTCACTGGCTTATATTTACACCCCAGTTTTGGATTCACCAGCAAGTGGAAACAGCCTGTTGACTATTTAACCTGATTGTATCTGTCTAGCGTGTGTAAGGTAAAGAGGAATCAATCCTCCATCTCCCACTGGTGTGACCTGTGAATATCTGAGACTATAAAAATGTTGCAGACTTTCCTCCTCTGATAGATTGCAGATAAACCCATAAAAATTCCTCTTATTTCCCATCGATCCTCCTCTCTCTCCTATTAGTGTCCGAATGCTGTTGCTGACAGTACAATTCAGCTAATTGTTCATTGAGTGTTGTGTAATCTCAATGTAATGAGGTACAAACCACTCTAATCTGCTGTGCTGACCCCAGACATGACTCCAACTTGTCTTCATTGTAGTCAGCCCCACCGAGCCTTGCATTTGGGTGCTTGTGATCAGATTGTTAACAGAACCACTGCCTAACATTTAGTGTGATTTTGCCCACAAAATATACAGTCAATTCACTTTACAGTACATTATGTGAAGTGTTTTGAGACATCTCAACTATGTGATAAGACGCTATGTCAAATGCATGGATTATTATTATACTATTAATATTGTCAGATGCCGTCCTTGGGATGAGACATTAAACTGAGGTTTAATGTGCCCCGTTCAGGTGGGCGTTAAACAACAACAACAACTTGCATTTATATAGTCGCCTTCACGTGGGGTGAGACTCACGCAGAGTCTCAGAGCGCTTAACAGTGGGGGAGCCTGATGCTGAATGGGTGGGAGGGAGGAGGTGACCATAAGGACGGTTGAAGAGGAAGGTCTTCAGTCGTTATCTAAAAGAAGGGAAGGAGGGGGCAAGACTTCAGCCCCTCTTGACTCCAACCCCCAGCTCAGGTGCAAACTCTTCACTGTCCAGTGCCTTGGGATGTCCTCCCAACATGTATAAATCCTATTTGTTGTTGTTTTTCTATATGATGGGCTCTACATAAATGCACATTTTGGTCGTGGTAGTAGGATATTGCAACCAAACAACTGCTGCCAAGAGACATCAGCAGAGTCTGAGGGGGAAATTAAATTACCTCCATCCTGTTATATCCTTCTTCTTCTGCCTTTAATGTCACATCAGGAACTCGTCCTATTTACATTATCAAATTAAAAGATGCTCTGCGGAAATTACTTCCTGAGTAATTTTATTTTAGTCAGCTGAGTGTCTGACACACGCAGAAACCCATCAATGTGCTCAAGAGTATCCAAACCAGTTTCTCAAATGTACGATACCTGCACATGGAAATTTCCCCGTGTTTGGAATGGAATGCGCATTCTCTCTTTCAGGAGGAATGCACTGTGCTTACTTAATTCAGCAGAGTTTTAGGCTCAGGTTGGCAAGAGTGTGTGTTGGGGGTAACTGCTGGAGTCTAACCAGCTAAAACCGCATAGCCAGCCATTGAGTCCCGTAGAGTAGTGGTTAGAGCGCTCATCTCGCAAACAAGAGGATCGGAGTTCGATTCCTGGATAGTGTGAAACCTTAGGCAAGTTTCCTTACTCCACATGCCTCTGTTTCCCTAGAAGTAAGTAGGAATCCAGTTGTTAGTCGACTGGAGGATCGCTTTCCGAGGGTAATAATCCCTTTAGATAAAAATGTGGTCATTCCATCCACAACTGTTGGTGGTAAACTGCTCTGCGCAATTGCCTGCCGCATTTCACCCACAAAATCCACTTTACAATATATTGTGTGAAGTGCATTGAGATGCCTTAACGATGTTATATCAAATGCAAGTATTGTTATTATTTTTTAGAGAGCATTGTCTGGCAAACATCCCGCTGCTTGTCCAGCTAGGAACATCCTAACTGTTAGGGCTTTGACTTGTAGGATTAACAGGAGCTCATGCTTGCAGCAAAGCCAGAGTCCATGTTAGCAGCTAATATCTCCGCTTGTTATAATGAGCTGTGAATTGATGAGTGAAGTCAGCGTCAGTGTCAATGAGATCTCCTCTTTGGCCAAGTTCCAGCTTCTGTACTAAACTCTTGTCAACATGACGACCGATTACACGGTGCAAACATTTCCCCGCCAGATACTCAAAGCTGGAAATCCTAGCAGTAAGTTGGAGTCCAGAATAAGTGACAATTATACCCTGAGTCCTCCCAGCTACAGGCGATTCCAGATGACTGCATGTTTGCGTGGCTTAGGCTTGACTGAGATCTTTTCCTCCTAATAGCTTTGCTCTTCTTTGTTCAGCACTCTGAGGCTCTACCCTTCCATGTCAACTTGGCTCAGTGGTAGGGCTCTCGGATCAACAATCCCCCAAATAAAACTGGTCACTCACTCCATGGCTGTTTGTGGGGACATTGTTGTGTGTGTAAATTGGCTGCCATGTTCACCCACAAAATACAGTCAATAAAATCCTGTGAAGCAGTTGAGACAGATGTTTGAGACCGACCGACTGACTGACCGACCGTGGTGTTTGTTAACGTGTCACTGTGCCGTTGGTTTCAAAGCTTTATTTGTCTACAGAAGCTGGGGGCAAGAAATCTAAAAATGCCATCCAGAGAAGCACGGAGACGGGCATGGCCGTGGAGATGCGCCGTATGACTCGCCAGGCCAGCCGAGAGTCCACCGATGGCAGCATGAACAGCTACAGCTCTGAGGGAAAGTAAGTGTGTCTCTTGTGTCCTCAATGTTACAGCATTCCAGATCATAACAACTCTCTGGGTAGGAAAAATTCTCCTCGTCTCCCCTTCCGGTTCTTTTTGCCGATTATCTTAAATCTGTGTCCTCTGATTACCGACCCACTTGCCAGAGGAAATAGTTTCTTCTTATTTATTCTTATCAAAACCCCTCATAACATCTCTATTAAATCATCATCTTAGATAATGCTGATTTCCCCACAAGAGGTAACTGTGCTAATGTTAATTCTCCATGATCTTTCCCATCATTTTTCTGCAGATAATTGCTTCACCACTGGAGCTCTCTATTCCATTCCCAGTCCCCCATTCTTTCCCCCGTCATGTCTGTGTTCTTCCTTGTCCATCCCCTAGACCTACCCTTGCCCGCAAAATACACAGTAACTCCACTTTACAGTATATTCTGTGATGCACTTTGAGATGTCTCAACAACGTGATAAAGGGCTATATTATTATTATTACTCTAATCCCAATTCCTCGCTCTTGCCCCATACCCTTTTATATTCTTCCTCCTTTAGATATTTATCCAACTCTGTTTTGAATAGTGTTATGGTCTTAGTCTCTGTCACATCCTAATGCAAAGCACTCCTTGTTATGACCCATATCCTCTGGGTAATTTGAAAGGTTCTGACTGATGGTGAAACTCGGAGAGATTAGAAGCTAATCTTGAGTAAGGGTTGGTGTTTTCGGGAGGTGTGCGGGGGAGGAAAATATCTGCAATGCAATTTCTCCCAGACTAGCTCCAATTTGTATCTCTTTCCTGAATTACTTTCTAGTTATACCATCGATTGCTCCTTGCCCGACTCCTATTTCGAGTCAATTATACTCCCAGATGGTCTCTTTCAGAACTATCAGCTGCTCCTTAACTGAGTTCCACAGCTATTTGTGGGACACTGCTGTGTGCAATTGACTGCCACAAAAATTCAGTCAATCCACTTTACAGTATATAAAAGCCAGAGGACCCGGGTTCGATTCCCGAGCGGGGAAAAACTTTAGGTAAGTTTCCTTACTCCACACTCCTCCATTTACCTAGCGGTAAGTAGGAACGTGGTTGTTAATTGATTGGAGGATCACTTTCTAGGGGTTATAATCTTTTAAAGTAAATAAATAATAATAATAATTTGGTCATTCAATCCACGTCCGTTTGTGGGACACTACTGTGCGCAGTTGCCTGCCAGATTTCGCCCACAAAATACACAGTCAGTGCACTTTACAGTACATTCTGTGAAGCTCTTTAAGACGTCTCAACGATGTGATAAGGCGCTTTATCAAATGAAAGGATTATTATTATTAACCATAAGAAAAGTGTTTGGGGCTTTAGGAGCACAGGCCACTTAGCTCAGCTTTCTGCCTCATTCCTGTTGAGCTCCCTCGACCTCGTTGTACAGGTCACCCCTGGTTCACGATCACTCACTCGCTGCCTGATTCAATCAGAGCATTTATGGTCTTCGCTGAGTAATAGCACAGCAAACGTTGATGTCTTTGGCCCAGTTTAATCAGGTTAACAGTGTAACATCAGGCCTCAGCGGGTAGCAATAATGATATTAGAGAGAGCAAACGTTATTTACCCATTACTGCGCTTGTGTCTATGTCCCACTAACAATGACGGATGTCTTCAGTTGTTAACAAGTGGCTTTGTGTCGCTCTCTATTGTGTATCTCTCTTCTCAATCCCTCAGATCAGCATCTAGTTTCTTTGCATTATCTTACATTTGAATCCCTCCCTGGTCTCGCCCCACTCTACCTCTGAAAATCTCCTTCACCCTCACCAACCCGACCGTTCCCTTTGCTTGGCCGACAGTGAACTAATCTACCTGCTCTCTCCACCCAAGCATTGGTGGCTCTCAACCACTTGGTATCCACTCTCTGGAGCTCTATTCCCATGTTCCTCCGCCTCCTTCCCTTCCCTCTTTCAGGGTACACTTCAAAACGTACCTCTTCGACAGCACTTCAGTCAGATTTCCCTTCCTCTTCCCCCCTACCTCCCCCCCAGGTCCCAACCAGCAGATTTGTCCAGTGCTTTGGAATGTCATCCTGATGTAAGAGTGCCTGTATAAGTGTCAACTGCTATGTTATGTGGAGTCCTTTAGCATAATCGTTAGAGCGCTCGCCTCACGAGCGAGAGGTCTCAGGTTTCGATTCCCGGGCAGGGCAAAACCTCAGGCAAGTTTCCTTACACGCCTCTTTTTATCTAGCAGCAAATCAGAACCAGGTTGGCGGATAGCTTCCAGGTGTAATAATTTCTCCCCCCACCACACCTCTGTGCGAAATCAGCAGCCATGTTTCACCCAATAAATATCCGGTCAATCCACTTCACATTGTGAAGCGCTTTAGACGTCTGCAAGGATTATCTTCATTAGCATTATCTTGCCTGGATTTCAGCCAGGGTAAGGATAAAGATAACACAAGTGAGAATGAAAGGCATACCCTAGGGCTGACCCCTGGAGTGACAGAAAACCTGTACGTCTCTTGTCTTGCTGGTAATGGGTTGTGATTGGTTTCATCTACTCCAGTTTGTTCCCTGGGATGAGGCTGGGAGCTGACAGCCAGTTCAGTGATTTCCTCGATGGGCTCGGACCTGCACAACTGGTGGGGAGACAGACCCTAGCGACTCCGGCCATGGGTAAGTGATGATGAGGCTGGGTGAGACGATAAACCGAGATCCTGCCTGTTCAGGTGGACACTGTTACACTCCACTCGTCTGCAACAGAGAATAAAAAGTACAATGAAAAATTAATTCTAAAAAAAGCCCCACAGGGGGAGTAACAGAACTTGGTGAACACCCTGTACAAAACACACAGTCACAACCCTCTGTGAGTGCTGTGAGACATTTTGATGACGTGATAAGATGCTGCGTCAAACACAAGGATCATTTTGCTTCCGCAGGTGACATACAGATCGGGATGGTGGACCGCAAAGGGCAGCTGGAGGTTGAGGTTATCCGCGCACGAGGCCTGACTCAAAAACCGGGCTCCAAATCTCTTCCTGGTAAACAATCCTCTGACAGTATCTGTTCATCTGTGTGTGGAACGTCCTCCTTTAATTATTTCCTCCCCTCATTTCTGAAGGAGCTGTCTGGTGCAGTGTTGTACAGCAGCACAGGTACCGGCCGCCCTCTGTTATTCCTCTCTTTCAATTCACCATGACGTAGTCACCATAGAACCAGCTCAGCTGCTGTACGGGTAGATAGTGCTGGTACAGTACTGCAGTACAGTACTGGTAAGAGTCCTGTAGCGTAGTGGTCAGAGCACTCGCCTCCCAAGCGAGACGACCCGGGTTTGATTCAGGAGGAGGAACGAAACCTTAGGCAAGTCTCCTTACTCCACACGCCTCTGCAGTAAACCTCCATACACAGATCGACAGGCGTTTGTGGGACACTGCTGTGCTCAATTGGCTGCCGTGTTTTGCCCACAAAATACTCAGTCAATTCACTTGTCAGTATATCCTGTGAAGCGCTTTGTGACGTCTCAAGATAAGGCGCGATATCAAATGCAAGGATTATTATTATTATGTCACACACTCAGTAGACAAAAAACTACTTCAGGCATTCCTGTGAAGCATTCTGAGACATTTTGATGACATGATAAAGTGCTACATCAAATGCAAGGATTAGTATTATTATTATTTTCCATGTGTGACACACATCCAGTTGACCAAAAGATTAATCATAGGAGTCTCTCCAATGCGGTAGTGATGCTACAGTGATGGGCTTTGGCCACAGTGGGCTAAACTGTCAATGGGAGACTAGAGATCCTGCAGCTCCCACTAGTGGCCAAATATAGACTATCATCAACTTCACTTAATCTGGATTTCTTAACCCTTCTCTCTCCCCCCACCCTCCCAGAAAACTTGATCCTTGGAACAGCAAAATGCCTGTGCAATGGTAACTTTGTGCACTTATTGCACTAATAAGTGTAGACTTTGTGTGTCTTCCTGGCTCAGTTGGTAGCACTCTCGCCTCTTGAGTCAGAAAGTTGTGGGTTGGAGCATCAAGTTGGGATTTGAACTCACATAGTCTAAAGTGACGCTCCAACGTAGTGCTGGGGGTGTTGCATTGTTGGAAGTGCCGTCCTTCGGATGAGATGTTAAACCGAGGTCCTGTCTGCCTGTTCAGGTGGACATTAAAGAGAGGACAGGGGATGTGCAGCAAGCCTGTGTTAGCTGAGCGAAGAGGGCAGCAGAGGGGTGGAGTATGAGCAGATCAGAGAGATGATAGGGAGGCGTTAGGTCTGAAGGGATGTGTAAGTAAAGATGAGGAATAATTTAAACTCTTACGTTAAATCTGATCAATCCTTTTGCAGCCCCTTACGTCAAAGTGTACCTGCTGGAGAATGGAGCGTGTATAGCCAAAAAGAAGACAAAAATTGCACGGAAAACACTCGATCCACTCTATCAACAATCACTGCTGTTTGAAGAGAGTCCACAGGGGAAAGTCCTACAGGTCAGTGCTGCTCACTTCTTCTAATGTAATTTCAGTGTCAGCTATCCTCCTGGGTGGGGTGGGGGCTAAGCAGGGTCTCCTTGGAGCTGAACTGAGTGCAACGTGACATTTTTGGAAATGAACTGTCAGAATCGAGTCAGCCCTCTGTGACCGTCTCTAGTCCGGTTCCTGAGTAGGCGGGTCCGCAAGACTCCAGGCTGGCTGGGCTGATGACAGCAAAGCCAGCATGACCCATTGGCAGGACCTGGCAGGGCAGACCAGTCACTGGGGGCAGGGAATCCTCCCACTCAGCTCCTGTTCTTAGCTGGACAAGCAGCGGGAAAGCTTGCCAGACAGTGCTATAAACGGCAAGCTGTGCGGTTTTACCTGGTTAGACTCTAGCAGTTGCCGCAACACACACTTCGGGGCTCCCAAGCCTTGGTTCTTGGTCCCCCCCAAAAAGTGGTCACTCAATCCAAGTACCGTTTTGGCAGCACAATTGGCTGCCATGTTTCGCCCCCAAAATCCAGTCAGTCCAATGTACGATACATTCTGTGAAGCGTTTTGAGACGTCTCAACGACATGATAAGGTTCTATACCAAATGCAAGGATTATTATTATCATTATCCGAGTCTTATTTTTATTTCCCTCTTGTCTGGCAGGTGATCGTTTGGGGAGACTATGGCCGAATGGACCACAAGTGTTTTATGGGAGTAGCACAGATCCTGCTGGAAGAGCTTGACCTGTCCAGCATGGTGATCGGTTGGTACAAACTGTTTCCAACGTCCTCATTAGTGGACTCTACCCTGACACCCCTGACTCGTAGAGCTTCCCAGTCCTCTCTGGAGAGCTCCACCGGAGCTCCCTGCATCCGGTCTTAGTCAACCAAACACTCCCGTCCGTAAAGGATTCAGTGACCCAAGGAGAGAGAACAATTTCAGACGCTGACGATAATACGATCAAAAAACCACTGCTGGAGCCAGACAATCACTCCTGTTTTTTGCCAATAGCACTGTTTCTCGGAGAAAACAAAATAATAGGGCTTCAAAAAAAAAGTATATATATGTAAGTCTTATATGTATGCTGGCATGAATTGGCAAATCCCGCACTACACCCGACTTCTTGAACAGAAGGTGATGTCTCGATGAGAGTACACTTATGTTTTGAGACGAGAACTAAAATAATTGAGAACAGACCAGTGTTCTGATTTCAGATGGGGTGGGGGGGGTGGGTGGGACGGGGTCGGGGGGGTTGGTGGGTGAGACACTAATAAGCGTTAAAGGAAAAGCAACAACAATAGAGGAATCTGACGCAGAGAGAGAAAGAGAGATAGAAACAAGTGTTAACCTTTCTATCTGAAAGACCATGAGCAGTGTTACCTTGTTGGCGTTGGTTGTTTTTGTCAGCGCACACTTCTTCCACCGCTGTCCGCTGTACTGAACCTGGCTACTCTCCTTCAACTGACCCCGAGTGAAACTGGTGACGAAGAGACACTTACCCACCGACCCTGTTGAAAAGGGCGACTGCATATACTGTACTCTCAGAAGAAATCACAAGGTGTTCAAACAGGGTTCAGTGCAGGGGATGCATCAGTACACACCGCTGGCTCCCCAAGGCAAGATGCTCCGTGGTGCACTTACGAGGCATTAGCTGCTGTAGGAAATATCCGAGAGGAACCAGATGTGAGCGGTACCCAGAACCTTTCCAAGCAAAGACCTGCCACACAATTGTCACTTTGTATTTTTTTCGTTAATGTTAAGAGAAAAAAATGAGCACATGCAGTTTTGGGTGTTTTTTTTTTGTTTGTTTGCATTTAAGGATACATCTCCCTTTACGTTTTCTCCTCTTCTATTTTTTTTGCCGCACGAAAACCGATAAAGGTTTGTCCGTTTGATTTATATGTTTGAAACTGCTACCCAGCGTTGGGAAGGCTGTTGTCACAAACGGCTTCGAAGTCTCAGGCACTCTTGGACTCTGGGATTTTGTCGGGCGGCTAAGATGTCGCTTGCGATGCAGTTCTCCGCTGAAGAGTTCTGGACGGACGGGGCAGCTTCCATGTCGAAGTGGACCTCCACAGGTCTGTTGAGTTGGACTTGATGATTCTCCTTGACAGACAATAAGCTTCAGTCACTTGTCAACCCGCTTGTTCTGGACAGAGCATGATACCAGTCATTCAGCCTTCGCTGGAAGACATCAGTCGAAGTTTCCTGCACACTTCTCGTGTTTTCTAGATCTGATTTTACTTTACATTGTTCGGGAGTTTGATGCAAGCACAAAGCTTGATTTTTTTAGAAAAAAAACCCACAAACAGTCAAATGGATTGCTTTTTTTCTTTGGCAGACAAGCAAACTTTCAAATTGCTTTTTATTTCTCCCTTGTCTTCCTCTCTCCCTTCTCCCCTCCGTTTCCTCCTTCCCTCCTTTCCCCTTAGTCCTGTCAGCCTTGCAACCCCCTCCCCACCATTCCCCCCTATTGTGTGTTAACGTACATGTGTGCGACCCCTTGCAAGGTGCAACCGTTCAATTATTCCCTGCTCCTACTCTCACAGGTCTTTTTTTCTTTGTGATCACCTTCCCTTCCTCTCTCCCTTCTCCCCTCCTTTCCTCCTCTCTTTCCCTTCGTCCTGTCAGCATTGCAAACCCCAAACACTTCCCCTTCCTCTTGTGTGTTAACGTACATGTGATCTGACTCCTTACAAGGTGCAACTGTTCAATTATTCCCTGCTCCTACTCTCACAGGCCTTTTTATTTCTTTGTGACCACCGGTTTATAAGGCAGCATGATACTGCAATTGTTCAAAGCTGCATGCACGTTTTGTAGACAATTTAAAAAAAGGGGGGGGGAAAAAACACAGACGTTATCCAATAATATGTGTGTTAGTTCCATAGGCCAGCTTGTATGTTGCATGTACTTGTACAGTTTGCTCGTTAATTATTATAAAGAAAACAACCAAGAAAATCTAAGCCATTCTTTTCTGTTATAAGACAAGTTTTCTCTCTGCTGATTTTAACCAGGCTCCTGCCTCTGAATGTCTGTAGGAAGATTTTCTTTTCTTTACCCTCTCTGGAAAATTAACAGCTGACACACAAGGACAGGAACAAAGTTTAAAAGAAAAACCCTATCAATAACTCATTTGGTGTCCATTCTTACTGTGTGACTGCGACAGACATTTAAAACATTGTGTTAGCACAATGTTCTTTGTTCGCTTTCGGACACACAGCACAGAGACAGTAGAACAAGAGGACATAGCTTTCGAGTTGCAAAGGGACAATTTCAGGACAGACACCAGGAAGTTTATCTTTACCCACAGGGGAATTAATGACTGGGATGGAGTTACCGGGAAGGGTGGTCGAGGCCAAGACACTGGGACTCATTAATAAAAAAACGTCACAGCTTGATGCTGTGACGTTAGGACGTGTGGGGTGGGTGTTCTGGAGGGATGAGAACAGATGGGCCAAAGGGCCTTCTTCATCTGAACCGATCTTGTGAATTTACCTGTTGTCCTATTGGGGGGTGGGTTGGGGGGTGGGGGATGAGGGGGGTTGGGATGAGATCGAATGCTGCTCGACCCCCTGATAAGGGAGAATTGGAAACCACTGGTTTGCTACTCATGGGTTTGATTCTGTTTTAATCGTGATTCCAGGGCCAACGCAGCTGACTGGATTGCATCTTTCTAGCCGCCGCGGTTGGCTGAACCAATCCCCTGTGCTTTTAAACTTCAGACTCATGTTATGTAAACATGTTTAATAAAATTTACTTTTCATGTCCACCTTGGATCTGTTTCTGTGCACTCTTGTTAGAGCCTTGTAGTCTTGCGGTTAGAGCGAGAGGACCCGGGTTCGATTCCCAGGCTGGCCGATAACTTCGGCAAGTTTCCTTACTCCACACGCGTCTGATTACCTAGTAAATAGGAACCAGGTTGTTAGTCAATTGGTGGATCGCTTTCCAGCGGTATTAATCCCTTAAAAAATAATAATTTGGTCACTCAATCCCTGACTGTTCGTGGGGCACTGCTGTGCGCAATTGGCTGCCGCGATTCCCCCACAAAAAATACAGTCAATTCACTTTGCACTATATTCTGTGAAACGCTTTGAGACGTCTCAACGAAGGGATAACCCACTGTATCATGCAAGGATTATTGTTAGCATTATTAAAATGTCCCTAACAAAAGCAGAATGTGTACAGTACTTTATCTCCATTCCCTATTTACAATCCACCCAAATAAAATCTGCCATTAACGTCAATGGCTGTTTGTGGCTGAGTTGGCTTAAAGGTGACGGAAAAATCAGCTTCACCCATTCCCCGTGACCGGAATGGAATGCACCCTCCCTCCCCGGAGGGATACATTCTGTTTACCCCTTGCCAACCTGCGCTTCATACTTTCCGGAATTAGGTCAGCAGGATGTGTCCCTCCAGGGAGAGAGAGCGCATTCCATTCCAACAATCTATCTCTGGGATTTCCATGTGTAGATGGGATGCGTGGAATTCTCAATTTGTGGAGGGATGAGATAGAATGGGCCGAAGGGTCTTCATCTGAACCAATCTTGTATATTTCTGTTTTGCTGTAATTCCTCCTTCAGCCTCGGCGTGACGCTGCAGCACTGGCTCTCCCTCAAGATCTGCTCAGCTGCAGTTCCTGCTCCTGGTCTCTGGGTGGCACTTCACATTACTCACAATGTCACGAGATTGGTTTGGATGAACCTTTGGCCCATCTGATCTCATGCCCAGAAGACCCTGTTCAAGAGAAACCAAGCCAGACTGAGGTTCCACATCTGAACACCACCTACACATGGAAAGGTCCCCATGTTTGGAACGGAATTCACACTCCCGCCCTGGAGGGACACAGCCTGCTTACCTAATTCTGGCAAGTATTAGACATAGGTTGGCAAGAGACCAGGCTTGTGGACCACAAATTGTGAGTTGGGTTACTCCTGGAGTAAAAGGACATCGCTTATCCTAGCTTGAAAGCAAACTTACTGCCCCACTGACCTGTCTGCCCCTCCTATTCCTACTGATGAGCCAGGTTCAGATTATTCAGAAATCTGCAGCTTGTGTCCTCTCCCACACCAGACGCCGCGAACTAATCACCTCCGTTCTTGCCCCGCTTCACTGGCTCCCCACCCCTCAGAGAATCGAGTATAAATAATAATAATAATAATATAATAATAATCCTTGCATTTGATATAGCGCTTTTCACGTCGGGAGGACGTCCCAAAGCGCTTCACAGAACACACTGTAAAGTGAATTGACTGTATATTTGTGGGCGACTGTGGCAGCCAATTGTGCACAGCAATGTCCCACAAACAGTCGTAGATTGAAAATGACCAATTTACTATTGTTTTTGGTTTTGGAGGGATTATTATTAGGCTCTGTGTGGAGTAAGGAAACTTGCCCAAGGTTTCGCCCTCTGCCTGGAATTGAACTCAGGTCTCTCGCTTGCAAAGCGAGTGCTCTAACCACTGAGCTACGGACTTCACAAAACCCTTGTTCTCACCTACAAAGCCCTCCATGTCCGCTCCCTCCACTCAGCAGGCTCCGGCCCGTTCCACATTTCCCGCCCAACCCGCCCTACCATCGAGGGCCAGACTTTCAGCCTCTCTGTCCCCACACTGTGAAAGTCCATCCCTCAATCCCTTTGCTTTCCTCACTCCCTTGCCTCCTTTAAGGCAAGGCTCAAGATTCTCCTTTTCGACTGTACCTTCAGCCGCCCTCCTACCTCTCTGTCCTCACTCACCCCAACCCTGCTCCCCCCCCACACTTGAGTCCTGATCACTGACTGTTCAGCATCTTGGGGCATCCTCCCGATGTGAAAGAGACTACAAATGTAATTTTGTTGTTGTTGTATATTTTTGGGCGAAACGCGGCAGCCAATTGCGCACAGCAGTGTCCCACAAACAGTCGTGCATTGAAGTAACTAATTTATTATGTATATTTATTTCCTTGATTGATTATTTTGAGGCGTGTGGAGTAAGGAAACGTGCCCAAGACAACATTCTGTTGCCAAACGAAAGCCCAGCTCCAAGGAGACCCCATTTACCTTACCTGCATCCCCCCACATCCCCGAGGGTACAACAACAACAACAACAAGATTCCATTTATTGAGCGCCTTTCACGTCAGGAGGACGTCCCAAAACGCTGTACAGTTGGGTCAGGACCCGAGCAGTGGAAAATGGTTAGGGTGAGGGGAGGGAA